TCGTCAAGTAATGATTGCCTTTCGGCTTCGAGTAGTCGCAGTCGTCTTAGTAGGTCATTCAAAGGAGTCGAGTCATCGTCCGCACCAATACGTACCGCCGCGGTGTTGTCTTCTGTTGGTGATGAGACTCCTGCGTTGGTGGATGGGGCGGCGCAGCTGGCCGGCTGTCCGTTGTTAGAATCCTGGGCTGCAGCCTGCAACATTGTTCTTGTTGCAGTCGGGGTTGTCAGAGGCAGAGTAGGGGCAGAGGCCCCGGTGTCGCTTCTCCTCTCGGATCTGCCTGTTCCAAAATTTAAACCCATTTTGGAAACATATTTTGAAAATATAATTGAGGCATCATAAAGAGTAATTCTACTTCCTAGAATGAAAAGGACCGTAAAAAACTCTTGAGGGTCTCCTTTTATTTGTCAATGAAAAACACTGCCTTTTAGGCGGTTTGAACTTCTAGGGATTTACAGGCTTCGAGAACGGCGGTGATTTCGCCATCATCGTTGGTCAGTTGCGCTCTTTCCGCCACAAAGATCTGGAAGGCGTTGGAGACGTACCCTGCTCCAGTTTTACCAGAATCCGGCACAGCCTCCGGACAGTTACGTGCATCCATGTCCGGAGGGTATTGAGTGCAGATGGTTTCTAGAGTGACTTTTCTTGTTACCACTTCACTTGATAAATGTTTTGGAATATCGTAGTCACTGAGCTGTACCACTGATTGGTAGAAACCGGACAAATCGTTGCCCAGGTAATGCGGCGGCCACGAACTGCAAGATATCGTATTTTTTCCTGGTTGTGGTGGCTATCGTTGCCATGTTATTGAGACTAGTTTAGTGAAGGAGCAAGCTAAATTTTTAATGTAGAAGCCCCCAATAAGATTAAGATTAAATTTAGTGTATTCAAGTCAACATATGTTCAAATATTTTCCTTGTATTTTTTTAAATATTTTCCTTTTATTTCTTTAAAGTATCAATAATTAATAATGCTTAGCTTGGAACTATAAGTTGTAACGATGTGAAACATTTTTATTTCATTGTTAATCTGAATCTTTGTGTAAACATTGTATAATTACTTTGAATTGTATCTGAATTTTGTATCACATCCGTTTACAGCATTTTCCCCTTGTAATACTTGGCAAGTCAGTTACTAGCAATCGACAACATTTAACTTATTGTACTGTCCTATATCTTATATTCTATTCATAAACTAATAGAATTTGTGTAAAACTGCACTTTGCAGCCTATAGCAACTGTTCACAGTAAGTTTAAAGAAATGTTAGTCTTAAACTGAGCGCTGAAAAAATGACGTTCAGCGTAGGAATTCATTTGAGTTCGACTCTTTATGCGATTCTCCTTTCTTATGCCAAGCCATTTGTATTGTAAATGTAGTCATTTTCTTCCGAGCCGCTGGCACCCGTATTTTGGATTATCGTGTTAAAATCAATGCCCGACGCTTGGAAATGGACAACGTAGTCTTACAACTTCGTCTTACAACATTTTTTATGGTTTTTAGGTTTAGTCAATAATAACCTTGTATGTTGTATATATGCTCTGAGTTGTAATAGTTACATTTTTTTGTGCTCCCCTGTTGAAGAGTTGGTAAACGTTGCTCATGGGATCGCACATATTACGTTGTATGTAAAATGTAACGTTTTGTTATTGATTTCACCTCATATTGTAATTGCTAAAGTATTGTATAGTGATGTATGTAATTTTGAGGCATCTACGTGTGTAGCTCTGTCACTGGTTGCTATGCTTTCTATTAATTTTTTATTGTGGCTCCTGGGAGGAAGTAGTTTAGTAGACGTGCAAGTTTGAGCTGGTATCAAGCCAGAGTCTTCAATTGTAAACTGTCTTCAGGTTCCCTAGACCAGCTCCGTGTTGGAGCTCGCATGTGGAGGAGTAAGTACTCCACTTCTTGGAGAGCAACAATTCTTAGGTTTTCGTGTTCAACACGAAGGTGAACACATGTATAGTTTTCTGGCAGTAGTCCAGCAAGTTTTGCGTATTGTGACGAAATATCCATGAGCAAAGTTGATCTGTTTTTGTCTTAAAGTTAAAAAATTCTTTCAAAACATAAAATGCCTAAACGTATTTTTGGATGTAATTTTTTTTATGCTGATGGAAAATTTTATTTTTGACAAGTAAGAGATTTGATGCTCAAACTATGTTGCATGCTGTTATTTATTTTGTTTATTGAGAATTTTTAGTAATTGACGCTCTGTCATTTTATAAAATATCAATGTGTAGTTTAATATTATGTTTCTTTACTGTATCGTTAAGTGGATTTGACATCTCAACGCGCGTGCACATTTACATAGTTCTGTAAAATTGTATTTTTTGTATGAATATTTATATTCAAATTCTAAATTTATGTACATTGGCTGTCTAACTTTATTGCATTTTGTATGTAATTAACTTGTCTTAAAGATCTTTGCTCTGGTTTAATAAATTGTATACTGACTTTAGAAACCTTGTGGATTTTTTGGGCCCTCGTAGAAGGGGCGGGTCTTATGTCCAAACAGAGTAACCTTTCCTGTTCACTTCTTTGCGAAATTCTTTTTTGTCTAGGAGTTTGTTGGCTCTACTCATGTCCATGTGATAGCACGAGTCTTTCAAATTGGTAAATTTCAAATATGTTTCCTGCCTTTCATATACTAATTAAAGGATTTAAAAATAGTATTTCGAATTGTCGCAATTCAACTCGAGGATTGCGACTTTGAATCTGCAAATTATTTAATTTGCCATCCAAATATGAAACAACACACGCGTAAAACGATTCCTCCATATTCTTGTAAAGTAGAATGTTTTCGTAACCGCGGAAACACGGCTAACTACAATTGCAGTTGACACTGTGTATTTAATAAAGTATATTGTGCTATTTGACTATCCTGATGTCTTGATATTTTAAGTTGTTTTTAAACAAAATTGTGAAGGCCATGACAAAAGTAATTTTCATGTAAAAGGACATATAGTAATATTAATTCAATTAACTTTATTTGCATGATACAAGAAAATTATTTCGTCCCATTTTCTATTTCATGAAATTAATGATACGTTTCTTTTAAATATATCTTTGTAATAAGACAATTTTACAATGTAATAATTTTTTTTCGAAAAAATGTAAAAACATTGTAAACTATTTATTCCTGTGTTGGAGTTGTGCAAATGCTAACAGATGTGGTTGATATAGTATTAATCAACCAATCAATTTATATTAATTTACTATCAAATCCACCTATTATTCAAAATATTATCCTTATAAATATTTTCCTTGTAATCCATTTCTACTTCATTATTAGTATGTATTAAATTATAAAATCCATATTATATTCTACGACCTACATGAATATAGGGGCTAATGAAGAAGAATGATGCTCTATTAGCAGGTATTGTTCGTAGAAGTCAGCCAAAATTTACATCTCGACAAATATGACTGACCACTAGCTAACTTTGTGCATTTATATATTTGTATAGTACCAACATTCCCTACCAGCAGCGCTCTTGTCAACCTAGGCTTCTTATGAATTCCGTTATCCCTCCAGTGCTCCGTGAAAATAATCCTGCGCATTGATATTTTAGTGCAAAGTTATTTAAGCAGCAGCGCGTGACTTTACTTGCCACTCTTCCTAGTTTTGGAAATTAGTGGTATTTTACGTTAAACACAGAGTTCGAGGCGGTTGTGATTAAATGCCTATACGTTTGGATTTGACTCTTGCACGTAGTGTAGGTAATTGATATGCTTTTTAAGTGTGTTTGATTATAGCAAATAAATTGTTGTTGTAGTACATACCTTGTTGATTAATTGTTGCAGACTACTGCTTGTGTCAGCACGCCTGAATTTTTGACTTTGCTTAATTCTTATATGTTTGTTGAATTGTTGCAGTTTTTGAATGCTTTCAGATTCTAAGGGTGACAGTGAGTACGGGCTGACTTTTGCCAGTACAAGAAAGGTGGGGGAACCCGTGTCGCAAGAAGCGGAAGTTCCTGAAACGCCTGTTTGCCCGATAGGCAGCTGACCTGGTTGTGGAGCTAACTGGGTCTGCTGGGGAAGGAAGGAATTTAAACCGTCGTTCTGAAGGGAACACTTTTTTCTCACTGGTTTAACAAAGTGTGGGCTTTAATACCTTTTAAATATGTTAAATGTGTGAATTGCGGCCTTAAGTTTGGCTGCTATTATAAAAATTGGAATTACGAGCGAATTTCCATTACTTAACGTATGCGCAATGTTTTTGTCACAGAGATGCAGACACTAAAGGTGTAGTATTTCACTGTTTTGGAGAGCAGTTGATGTTCGAATAAATTCTTCTTCAGTATAGTTTTCAATTATGTCTTTTTATTAAATTTAGGGTTTTATGCTGATAGTGATCCTGCCATGTTTGTTACAGAATATAGAATGTTATAGTGTCTTTTTACACCTTAAAATGGATTAAAAACTGTTTCGAGATTATTTGTATATCTTGTAGTTCTGTATTGATTTGTATTTCTACATGGATAATTTTTGTAAAGAAACACCCGCTTGAATATTTTCAAAATGTTTGTAAATCTTTGTCAAAGGGTTTTTGCCCTATATTTTTAAATAAATGTATTTTGGGTGTTTTGAAAATTTAGTGGATACTGTTAATCACTTTGTATGTTTACGTTCTATAAGAGTCAAGTTAGACGTTACTGTTGAATCCTGCTTATTCCTCTTCCTTGCCAATTCCAGTATCGAGTGGGTGTCTACAAAGGTTTTGTTAACTTTGCCCGAATTTATTAGAGGCCACGGGTCATTAATTACATTACTTGATATTGTGTCTACCTGTTTATTTGAGGTACCGTTTGAAACGTATTTGTCGTAAATTGATTGCGCCTGAAGACCACTTTTAAATTTGTTTACATTTTGCTACGAGATTTAATACGCCAATGCCCTCTGGCGCCGAAACCGATTTATTTATTAATTATCGTCAAAAACAGTTAAAACTGTCTATGACGCGCTATGGGAAGAAGTTCATTTGAAGTTACATTGAACACGGTTGTCAGAGGGTCGTGAAACTTCGGTTTCCTTACAATACGCGTACGAGGAATAGGAAGCGCGCGTCGTAAGAGAAACCCGAAAAAACGTTTATAGAAAATGTAAACAATTTCCAAACTTTACAATAATAAACTCGTGAAACAAGTCCATGTTCCTAAGACGATCATTTCGCGACCACTACAATTCACGCAAACGGAGTTTCGAGTTTTTAAGCACCCTTTCGGTACCCATTGTAATTAAACAAATTTGGGGTGTATAACAGACCGACGCCTCATCGGAACGCCTTTACGTCGAGGCCTCG